AGACACTGCAGATCTCCTTGGACAGGAAGTTGTTTCTCCTACTGTAGAATCACCACTAACCCCAGTGGAGTCCTCACCTGCCCCAGTTGAAGAACTTATCAGTCCAGTTGAGTATACCCCGGCGCAAGAAGAGCCCACACCTGCTCCAGTCGAGCCTACACCTGCTCCAGTCGAGCCTACACCTGCTCCAGTCGAGCCCACACCTGTTCCAGTTGAACCCACACCTGCTCCAGTCGAGCCTACACCAGCTCCAGTCGAGCCCACACCTGCTCCGGTCGAGCCCACACCTGCTCCGGTCGAGCCCACACCTGCTCCGGTCGAACCCACACCTGCTCCAGTCGAACCCACACCAGCTCCAGTTGAGCCTACACCAGCTCCAGTCGAACCTACACCTGCTCCTGTTGAATCCACGCCAACTCCAGTTGAAGCTACACCCACATCAGAGAAAGTGGAAACTCCAGCACCAGCTGCAGCAGTTCCTGCAAAGGCAGCAGTTAAAACTGTTAAAGAAGGAGCTCCTACACCTAAAGCAAGGACTCCTGCTAAAACCACAAAAGCTCCAGCTACAAAAGCCACACCAGACAAGAAGCCAACTCCTGGTAGGGCCACACCAGCCAGACCAACACCTGGAAAAGCCACACCCACTAGGACTCCCATCTCTAAGACTCCAACTCCCAAAGCTACAGAGAAAACTGCTTCACCAAAGCCTTTACCAAGAGTGGCCCCCACCAAGCCTGCTGCAGATAAACCCACTGCCACCAAACCAGGAACAGCAAGGCCTGCTTCTGCCAAACCAACTGCCACACGACCAGCAACTGGCACTGCTGGTACTACAAGGCCAACAGCCACCAGGCCACTTGCCAAAAAGCCAGCTGAAAAACCAGCAGCAACCACCAGCACCACCACAAAAGCCCCAGCCACCCGACCAACAACAGGTGCACCCAGGCCAGGTTCTGCACGTCCAGCTCCTGCTGCTAGAACTACCACAACATCCACTGTTAAGAAGACAGCTCCCACCAAGACTGCAGATAAGCCTGATGCTGGTAAACTAGTTAATGGGTCTGCCACAAGGACAACGACAACTACACGTAGACCTTTAACACAAACAGCAACCAAGACTTCAACCACACGCCCAGCTGCTGAAAAAGAGACCAAGAACACAACAAACCGAATCCTTTCCACAACTCGACCTGCCTCTAAGCCAGGAACTACTGCCACCACTCGACCCACTGTCAGTAGAACAGCAGCAGCAGCCAGGTCATCAACAACTGAAAGCAAGACCACGTCACGTGTGGATGCCACCAAGGCTAGAACATCTACTACAACAAAATCTGCTGCAACCAAGACTGCAGGTAAGATCCCACATTTTTTTCCCCCTGTATTTTGAGCTAGTGCTTATTCTTCATTGTCTTTTTTTCTTATATCCACTATTTAAATTTACTTTAACTTTTTCTATCATGAATATCAAAGATTGTAATGATTTTTCTTTGATACAGGAGTTGCAGTGAAAAAGACCTTGGTCACCAAAACTAAAACTGCTGGAACCAAGACAGCAGCAACTAAAGCAGAAAAATCTGAAGCAGCAGTCCTAGAGACCAGTGAGCCTGTAGTGAATGGGGAAAACAAGATTGCTGATGAGGAAACTAGCGTAGAAGTGATTGAGAAGTGTGCTGTAGAAGACATCATGAAGGCATCATCAGAGAAGGTCATCACAGAAAGCTCCCAGACCATGACAACCTCTGAACAAGTGGTAGTGACAACTGAAACCACAGAAGTGATAGTAAATGGAGATCATTGAGAGAGGTGTTGCTGAAAAATGCATAAACATTTTTGAAATGTTACATTTGAGTTACTTTTTTGACATTTTGCATTTTCAGTCTTAGGGTCCAAGTGTGTCTTAATTTGACAATGTGAGAGATGTGCTAGTCTGATTGATTGCTCCAGTGACATTGATAGTCAGGCTTATGGTGAAGTTCGACTATATTTGGATCCTAGCTTATGTATAGTCACCCAAATGCTAATATTAGGAGCTGATATTCTTGCTTAACTAATAAATGTACATTACATGAACGTACAATGGTAAGGACTGTCTTACTTATGGTTCCGAAGAGTTTGATATAATCTACCATTCACATTAGTTAAGGAAATCGATATTTCTTCTTTAATTTTTTATTTATTTTTTATTACATTCTTGAGAGCTGTAACTTTTTGGACTTGAGTGATGAAACTTGATTATGCCTAGGTGCATTGATGTCCATAATATTTAGATCATAAGATATGTAATTCATGCAGTTCACAATATATTTCATTAAAATAATACAGAAAAAAAAGAAAGCTTTAAGTTAAAAGTTAATATTTGTAAATAGCCATCAAAATATTAATGTGAGGTGCTAGTTTTCCCTTGTTGCATTCCGGTATTTCCACTGCTTCAGACTTTTGTACTTGGCCCCATGCCCACTCAGGCTTGTAGCAACAAGTCAATTAAGGCACCAGTTTTATATATAACTAATAGTAATGTAATTACAGATACCATTGTAAAGCTTTTTGTCACTGTGGTTAGGAACATGGATGTGATCAGTGTGGATACAAGGCATATGTTCAAAAAAAAAAATATATAAAGCGGTTGCTGATTATGAAGTGCCTTTTTTCCAAGACTTCTCCATTCCATATTGCTAAATAAACAATACTTTTCTTTTTTATATGGAATTACAATTTTTCAATCCCCAGGCATTACTTATTTATTGAATGTTGGAAGTGAAACCTCAAAATTAAGTTTCTTTTCCAAATTCCGGCAGTTGTTTCTGAAGAAATTCTCACCAGTGCCCAGTTAAGAGGAATGTATATTTCATTTGCTTCCTATATTATTGTGATGTGTCATTGGTTCCGCACAAGCCTGTGTAAAGTGTATCAACTATTGTATTCAAATAAGTAATAAAGGATAATATACAATAGTATTTTACTGTTCATTTTTGTTTAACTTTATACTTATAGGAGAGTTTTTGTTAATGATATAAAAGACAAAGTAACATTTGATAGAAGTATGAAAATAATGTGATTACCAATTACAACAAAGATATACAGGTATAGCTACCAGACTTAAAGCTCATGCCAATTAATTTCAAAATTAAAGCCTGTTCTGTAAAACAATTTTTGTAAGTCTTTGATGTTAAATTACTATACTGATTTAACATACTCCTATCTTGAGCCATAACCATAAAGACTACATAGAAGACCATTATAGATTGAAATAATCTTTCACTGATATATCAAACCAATTTAGGAGAAGTAAATCAGTGCTGATTTATAATGTGATATTGATATGATAGTACAGTGAAGAGTAACTGACTTGTTTATGCCACTGAAAGAAAATTGAGATTCTTGATCCATCAAAATTTGTGGCCATGGTAATAGCCCCACACCTGTGAAGTAAGCTGAATGAGTTACGGAAGTAGTACATATAATATATCTTTGAGAGGAAAAAAGGAAAGGCATTTAAGAAAAACAATATGGAAGTGGGAAAAAAAAAAAAGATATTTAAAATGCACACAGATATATGAATATACTTCTATAAATGTGCGTGTGCATTTGTGGAGCACGGAGAGTGCCTGTATGTGCCATCTGTTTGAGAACCAGTGTGAGTTCGACCATATACGTATGTGTAGCTGTGCGAGTCCTGCTGCTGCTTTTAACCCATTGCCGCCGGGGATGGCATGTACGTATATGCCATGCCCACTGTGAACTGACTTGTTCGATTGTTTTTGCACATAGATGGCTACACTTGTACTAAGTATCCAATGAGCCAATTACGAGTACTGCCTGTCTCGCCCGTTCACCCTTTTCATCGAGTTACGAAAATATTTAACGTTATCCTAATTTGCTGTTAAAAATAACACCATTTATATTTATAGCACTAGTAAGAATACGTTGTTTCCCGCCAATTCAAGGAAAGGTGAAATCAGGACTAGCAGAGCCATCTATGGACAGACATATTTCACAAAAATATAAAAAATGAGTACAGCATTTTCCCCATTTTTTGTTCATTTTCCCCGGCGGCAATGGGTTAATAAACTTGATACTAATCGATAGACTTACAAGGCCTTTTTTATATTGACTTGCATCATTGTCTTTTCACCTGCAATGAGTTTAGTGTATTGACAGACATAAAGCATGATAAATAGGCAGACATAAATAAGAGAGAGAAAGATGGGCAATTAACAAAATATATGATTATATAGTACATGTCTGCTCATGTACATATGTCTGCATAACCTGTGGATAAATATACCAACATATGCACATATATACAGTACACATATTTAATGATATTTAATTGATGAAAAGATAATATATGAATAATAATGAACAACAAAGCAATAATGATAAGAATGATAATAACAATAATGATAAGAATGATAATAAAAATAATGATATTGATAATGATAATAGACATAAAGATCATGATGAGGATTATAGAAGTAATAATAATAATGATAATAAGAATAATGATGATGATGATGATCATCATCATAATAACAATGTGGATAACTATAACAACATTGATAATGATAAGAATAACAACATTAATAATAATGGTAATATCAATGAAAGTAATATTGATGATCGAAACAGCTAACAATTGAGAAAAAATAATAGTGATAACTATAGTAACAACAGCAATAATAGTAACAATAACAATGATGATAATGATGATGACAGTAATACTAATTATAATAAAAACAATAATATAGTTATAATAATGATAACAGAAAAATAATAAAAAATAGTAAGGGTATTTATAATGATATGAATAACAACAATATAATAATGATAACAATATAATGATTATAAGGATAATAGTAATGATAATGGTAATGATAATAATAATAATAATGATAATATTATTAAGCAGAAGAATGGCAATGATAATAACAATAACAATGATAATGATAACAATAATAATAGTAAAAGTAATGACAATGATCAATATTAACAATAATGAT